ATGCAGAAAAGAGGTACGTGAGAGAACCAAACGATTCTTATATAAAAGCGTACCTCGGTGGAAATTGAATTTTGGGACACTATCCGGATCGTCATTCAACTTCTGAATCAGTTGGGCCAGATCCGGATCCTGGAGCACTTCAAATTTTACTACTTCCACGTCCAATACTGTGGGGACAGATAAGGTGGCGAGATTTACTGTGTGAGGCATGCGTGATAAAGCATTTGCTGCCTTGTTCTCCAACTTCGTTATCCATTTTTTCTATTCTGGTTGAATGACCCGTTGCTCCAACAAGAATTTCAGCGCTTGTTGGTCCATTTGTACAATAAATTTATGGCCTAATAAATACGGTCTCCACCTTTGGATTGCTCAAACAATGGCCATGAGTTTGCTCTTGTATACTAATTTGGACTGGGCCCATGCTGATAAAGTTTGACTAAAGAAATCAATGGGTCGTTGATTTTGGGAAAGTACAACACTAATCCCTGTACCTGAAGCGTCTGTCTCGACTATGAACAAGATACTTTAGTTTGGCAGCGCCAATACTGGAAGGATGATCATAGCGTGTTTCAATCGCTCGAACACCGTAGTTGACAGTTCTGTCCAGTAGAATGCATCACGTTTCAGCAACTGAGTAAGGGGGGCGGCGATGGCATCGTAGTTGGTGACAAACCGCCGATAATATCTTGTCAAGCTCAAAAATCCTCTCAACTCGCGTAGATTGGTCGGAATTGGCCATTCCACCATGGCTCGAATCTTTTCCCCGTCTGCCTCTACACCTTCAGCCGAAACCCAATTGCCCAAATAAACTGAAGCATAAAGAACAACATATAGGAGTTCCTAAGATATAAATAGGCTGGCTTAATTGCTAGAGTAGGGTGAATTCCCATCTTTACCTTTCCTTACATAGGTATTAACTATTGGAGGCCTTACCTACTATTCCTCCCTTGCGCAAAAACTATTGAATTTGTCATTTAAGATATAAATAGGCCTATTACTTTTATAAAAAAAAGAAAAAAAAATTAAAAAAAGTTTTGTCCTAATTTCGATCTTCTTCACTTGCGATACTCCATGGAGCCTCTCTCACAGTCTCACCGTACACTCGCACCAAGTGGCGCCGACCCAAATCCGCGGTTTTCTAGTCCCCATTTCCTTCGGTACTATATCTTTTCTTTATCTTTCAATTTTAATTTCTTTGTTTTGTGATTTATTATTTGGGAAATTGTTCGATTCTTCTATCTTGTTAAGAATTTTCGAATTGGAAAATTGACGGTACTTTCTTGAAACCTTGTTCATTTGTTTCAATTTCCAGTTTCAATATTTATAACTTCTTTTAATCGGTGATTTTTTTGTTTTGTTTTAATAGTATCGATAATTTTGTTCAATGTTTGAAGGGGAATTTTGTTGATTTCGCGTGAATTTAAGATTTTTGTCATTCAATTTTCTTAATTTTGAAGATATTTGGAGGAATTTAATCTATGAGGACAAGGAGTTTTTATGTTAGAAAATTAAGTTAGTTTTTCATCTTAAAGTTTCCATATTTGTATTAGAGTGAAACGCCCCTGAGAGAACTAAAGATCCATGATTTGATAACATTTTCATTTTCTATTTTTGAGGAATAGATATGTTTAATAATCCATCCTGTTTCTAACCTTTTGAAAAGGGATCCGTTTTTCCTATTGTCCTTGTGTGGTCGTTAATTAAAAATAACATCCGTAATTAAAGTTTTGAAAAAAGAATCTCATTAATAGCACTTTTTAATTATTTTTATATTTTCTATTTTTTTAATTAAAATATGTTTGGGGATGAAATATCCAATCGCCACGTGGAGGACGGCGACTTGTCGCTGAAAGAAGATCCGAAAGAGGCAAACTTGTGGAGCTCCATCTCAGAAGACTAGACATTTCCAATCAATTTATAACTTGTTATTCTCAGGAAAGTGTCTGAGTTCGATCTGCTCGAACCCGACACGTCCGACCTCAAGTCCAACCAAGGTAACCGCATGTCGTAACCCCTGTCCGAACCTGAACCTATAAATAGAGGACCTCATTTCATCATCAGGTATCGAATTCACTAGTAGAAACATGGGCTTTCATGACAGTTGTGAATAGTAAAAAAGTTGGGAGGAAAAAAAAACTGTCATAAATGATTGGGGCGTGTTTTTGGCCGGAAAAAAGCGGAACTTTTCGGATTTTTCAAGTTTTATGACAGTTAAAAACTGTCACGAAAATCGAATTTTAGATGACAGTGGAAAAATGTCACGAGAAAGTAGAGACACATTTTTGGCGGGAAAAACGGTGATCTACGAAAATTTCCATGTTTTATGACATTTATAATTGTCACGAAAAATAAAAAAAAATTCAAGTATTCCGTGACAGTTACCTAGACCATCTTGAGAATTTATGACATACAAAATGTGTCACAAATGATTTTAAGTGCGTTTCATTTCAGTCAGAAAAACTGTAGTTTTATGGATGATATTAACTATTTCGGGATTCTCCGATCGTATCGAGTATAGATTTATGATTAATAGTTTCCCCAAATACTCCATGAAATGAGTAGAAAATTGTATTTGGGATAGTGGTCTGCTTACCCTACGTAATTGGGCCCTTCCTCTTCGGTCCCGAGTTTGAGCCCGGTGGATTTCAATTATTTTTTTAACCCTCTATTGCTTTTTCCTTGCATAAATTTAATTCATCATGAAAATTAAAATATGATGATGAACATAAAATAATGTAAGTTAATTCTAGTTTCACCAAGCATTTCGTAAATAAAATATTCATACTTTAAATTATATCCCGAATTTTTTTAATTGGAATGAAAGGTAACTACTTAGGAATTAATCTCGGTTTAAATTGGAACTAGTTAGGTTCATGAACCTTTAAATTTTTTATAACATAAAATTTTGAATTTTTGATAAATTTTTTTAATCAAATCTTAGTTTTGAAAATTTGTTTTTATTTTCATTAGATTCTTGCCCAAATTTTTAACATATTAATAGGAACTTTTTGAAAGAAAATAAAAACAAGTCATAATTTTTCTCAATATAATGAAAAATAAAAACTTAGTAGAATATCTTTTTATAAAAAAATTAAAATATATAAATGATAACATATTTAGTTAATTGTGTGAATTGAACTTAAAACCGTGAGACTTATAGACACACCCAACACCAACAAAATAAGCTAGATTTTATGAAATGTTCTAGTATAATATTAATATAGTAATCATTTTTTCATTCTAGGTAAATAAAATTAAAATAAATTAAATCAAACCACGCCTTTTTACGAACTGCTTTCTTCCTCATCTTTTTCGATGTTCTTTTCAAAAAACCTAAAGTTCATCACCTTCCTCATGCTATTATGAAAATTTGTTGAAGTGTTGAATGTGTTTCTAGATTATTGATAATTATATTATTTTATTGTTGGGTTCACAAAACCATACTGAGTTTTTGGTTTTATATAGAGTCTAAGAATTCTTTATTTGTGTTGGGAAAGCTATTTAAAATGTGGGTGCTCATGTGGCAAGATTTAATTGGAAAAAAAATATGTTATGTCCCTAACTTAGAGATTTACTAAAAGAAAAAACAATGAGAAAATGGGAAGCACAATTCACAACAAATTTATAGTATAATTCAAGATCAATCCTTTCATAAATTGTCTTAGGAATGAAAAGTTATTTCACATGACCTTGCTATAACTGTCAGCTACTGACTTAAATATAATTTCTTCTTGGTTGGCTCTATTTAGTAACTTACTTTTGGAGACCAATAACTTTTATGTGCTTCTACCATAAGTTATGTTGAAACTTTAATGAACAGAATTATTTAGGTAGGTTGATTAAGTTAGTTGTGGTGAAACTCAACGAATTAGAATTATTTAGATTGGTTATTTTGTTGAGTAATGTGTGGAAGATACAAATATATTAGGGATTTATGCTTATGTTGCGATAGAAAATGAATTCTATAGTACAAGTGCTTTCTCAAAGTATTAGTGAATCATTCTTAATTGACCTGAAGCCCAACAAAGTTCTTGAATGGTTTTGATAAAATCTCAAAGTGGAGTTGTGATGTTGAATTTTTTTTTATGAATTATCGGTGGAATTTATAAACTTTTTAATGATAAACTAGATTGACAGTTACTGTAGTGTGTTTTATTGAATTTTCGTTAAAACTTGCAAACTCTTTAATGAATTTTCATTCATGTGTTTTATTTGTAATTACTAAAGTGTTTTATTTGGGATTTTGTTTTAGAACTTTTAAAATTAAGAATTTCGAATTTATAGTTGGAACCAAAAAAGGAAGATAAAATAAAAGAAAATAAAATAAAAGGAAATGTTTTAAAATAAAACAAACCCTAGAAAATATCCCACCTCTTCCACCCTCTTCTTCACGAACTGAGATCTCTTTCGTCGTTCTCTCTAGTCTTGCCGCCGCTTGTTGCCACCGCCACCACCGCCGGTCGTTGCTGAATTACTCCCCCTCAGTCGCTTCACACCGCCGCCGCCACTGCCCTCGAATCTCCCGCAATCTTGCCTTCTCTGCCCTAAGATCGGGTAAGTCATAACTTTGTTCATTCTCCCCTTCGTCCCTACTTTCGTTGCTCTCGTCTCCGGATCTGCAATTAAATCACGAGGTTGACATTCATACTTGTTTTAGCCATTTATTCAGTACTGATGCTTGACGAGTGACTTTACAATTTTGAGTCGTTTGAATTTTAGAATTTAAAAATTGAAATTCTGGAAAATCAGTGAACTTGATTGTCCTTGCCCTGAGGGGTAAGTTATGTCAGCTTCCCTGTACTGTACCATTAAATTTGGTTATCCTTGCCCTGTTTCTCTCGATTTCAAAGAAAACACACTAGTAATGCTTTGGCCCTAATCTTCACTGTTTCTCCCCGTCTGCTATATATATATTTGGGTTTGGGTAATTATCTGTAATTTACTAAGAATTTAAATTTTTTCCCTATCAATGAATTAGTTAACTGATTCTCCATCATTTACTTACCCTAGAAAAATCGGCAGCACCCTGTCGATTTTCCGTCCAACCTCTCCCTCCCTCAAATGACTTCTCGCGGCAACGACGAGTCCTCCACGAACAAGCAGATCCGGCGGCGCTCCATCAGAACCCGACGGATTTCGGTGATTTCGGCAGCGTAAGAGATATGGGAGGTTCTACTGTGCTTCACGGCGGATCTGGCATTTCCCGGTGGACGGCAGCAACGTGCACTACTTCCTACGACGGCAGCAACGTCCCCGTCGCCTAGACCGTGCACAGTAGCGTTGGTAGCACATCTCCACTGCTGGATCTCGTGGACAGCGGCATTTCGATGGTTTTCAACACATACCTACACCCGTTCGAAGCCCGTTTTGCAATACTTGCCCCCTTCGGCATTGGCCCACTCTTAACCAAAGTAGTTTTAGTGTGAGTTATTAGGTAACGACTAATCTAAATTGGATTTAGAGTTAATTAAATTGAATTCTAACCCAAGTTTGGTTGTTCTTGGTTTAGGACCCCGGCGGCGAGCTTAGTAGCGCATTAGGGACGTGATAGTAAGTAGTTTCTTACTTCAGGAGATTGGATTTTGTGTGCTGATATAAATTGATTGTTTGCTTTGTTGCCTATATTTGTTATTCGCATGATTTCTTTTGGTTGATATTATCCTCTGAAAGTCATTGTCGATATGATTTTGGATTGTTGCTATGTCCGGTTGGACTGTGTTAAGGATACTGTGTTAATTGTTACGGTGTGGTGCTTGACCATGTCTTCAGTTAACTGGTCAAATAGATTATGCATGGGTACGATGAACTTGTTGTGGAGGTTCTTGTGTAGTTGTATTCGTAAAAGTATTTTGGGAACACTTATGAGGAGTTTGCTATGTTAAATCATACTGGACATATGTTGGGTATAATGTTTGATTACTTGGGAATTGTGGATGCGTTGAGCTTCTTGGACAACCTCTATGAAGCTCCATACCCAGAATTTTCTTGGCTTGACCCAAGTCCTTCATCTCAAATTCACTTCTAAGTTCATATTTTATCTTCTCAATCTCGCTTTTATCTTTAAAAGCTATCAAGATGTCATCGACATAGAGGAGTAGAACAAAGACATCACTAGTAATAACTTTCTTATATATATAACAATCATAATAATTTTTCTTGAATCCCTTTGCTATATACACAAGGAAAATGAGTGGGGAAGAAAAAAAACAAGTGCGTGTATTTGCTATATTTTAGGGAATATGAAATAGGAATAGGAATAAGAATAGGCAGGTTTCTATTTTTTCCATGTTAGTTTAGTTAAATTATACCTTATGAGAGTTGTCTAATTGTTAGACTAACCAAGTTAGATACTATATCTAGATATTTGCTAGCCTCCATATCTTTGCAAGTTTATTTGTTTCTAGGAAACTTCTCCTTTTAATGACCATTATTCTTGAGCTGAAACATATCGTATGATCTTGAGAACCATGTTGGTCATGGTATAATTATTCGTTGTGTCATTTACCACCCCATAAAATTAGTTAGACATTATGTTTTCATGTCTTTTGAAGGAATGGAGAATGTATATATATGGTTTTGTTTCATTTTGGTGTGGAGAAAGAAAATAAAATACATGGGTACGACATTGGAGGAGATCAGAATGATTGCCAAAGCAATAAATTGCATTGAATTGAATGAGAGCAAAGGATGTACATATATATAGTGCAAAAGGCAGAGGGTGATCATTCCCTTAATTTTATTATTGGGAGGGGAGGAAGAACTTAGTTTTCATTTGTTATGTCCCTCCCTCAGTTTTACTTTCTATTTTCTATCGTGCTTTGCAAGTTAGCATTTTGGCAGTAGTGGAGTGTGTTCAAACTTTTATGTCTTTCTTATTTTCTCCTTTCATTACTTTTACTAATTGTGAAAGCTTGTTCTTGCAGTGAGACATGTGCTAGATAATGTTTCCGTTTCCGTTTGTGTTTGTTAAAGCTATGTTGTTTAGATTGGTGTGTTCATATCTTGTTTCTGGTTGTCTTTCTCTCCCGTTCTAGCTACTTATGTGGTCTCTTTTGTGAATATCGTACATTGATTTTAGGCTTGACTTGCTTATGTAAGATTGTGCAAGTAGTCAATTAAGACTTAGTGTTTATATGTGTCATGCATATAGTATAATGTATCGTTGGATAATTGTGTGGTTTAAAGTTTAGTTGGATAATTGGGTGGCTATCCTGCACCAAAGATAGCCAATTAAGACTTATTGTTCATATTTGTGTCATGCATGAAGTTTAAAGTCTAGTTGGATAATTTTCTGGCTATGATGCAGCAAAGATAGCCAATTTTCATTTCCGTTTGTGTTTGTTAAAGTTATGTTGTTTAGATTGGTGTGTTTATATCTTGTTTCTGGTTGTCTTTCTCTCCTGTTCTGGCTACTTATGTCGTCTCTTTTGTGAATATTGTGCATTGATTTTAGGCTTGACTTGCTTATGTAAGATTGTGGAAGTACCAATTAAGACTTAGTGTTTATATATGTCATGCATATAGTATAATGTATCGTTGGATAATTGTGTGGTTTAAAGTTTAGTTGGATAATTGTTGGCTATCATGCAGCAAAGATAGCCAATTAAGACTTATTGTTCATATTTGTGTCATGCATATGGTTGAAAGTCTAGTTGGATAATTTTCTAGCTATCCTGCAGCAAAGATAGCCAATTTTCATTTCCGTTTGTGTTTGTTAAAGATATGTTGTTTAGATTGGTGTGTTTATATCTTGTTTCTGGTTGTCTTTCTCTCTCGTTCTGGCTACTTATGTAGTCTCTTTTGTGAATATCGTGCATTGATTTTAGGCTTGACTTGCTTATGTAAGATTGTGCAAGTAACCAATTAAGACTTAGTGTTTATATGTGTTATGCATATAGTATAATGTCTCGTTGGATAATTGTGTAGTTGAATGTTTAGTTGGATAATTGTGTGACTATCCTGCAGCAAAGATAGCTAATTACGATTTAGATAAGTAGATTGTTTTTGTTTGTTAGTGTTCAACATCTGTGTTGTTCCTAAATCGGTTTTATTTGGGTAAAGTCTTTAGTATTTTGAGAATTTCAAAAACCGTTTGATATTGCCTTTTTGCGCCTTTGTTTTTGTGAAAGAAGGGTTTTGTGTGAGTGATTTGAAGGAAAGAAAACTATCTTAGGTGCGTATTGTGATTGTTAGCTCTCTGGCACTGCATAAAGGCTATGAAAGTGTGTTGATTCCGAAGGTCTTAAATATAATTTTTTTTCTACTATGTTAACCTTTACAATGAGTAGAAAGAGGAAGTAAACTCAGTGTAAGAGATTTGAAAGTTTAGGTTCTCCACTTTTGTGTATGTTTGCCGAAGTTAGATTCGTGTTTTCTTAATTGTTTGTTTTGAATATGTTGTTCAGCATGTGGGAGCGAGGGTTGAAGGAAGCAGGGTCGAGCGTTTCTGTAATATGTTAGCTACATTTTGTAGTTTGACCTTTCACGTTTACACGGTATGAACTCTAACAACATATAATAGTAATATGTTAGCTACATTTGTTGTAGTTTGACCTTTTGCATGTACTATTGTGAAATATTTGAGGTTTTTGTCCATTACTTAGGTCTTCCAAGAAGAGTCTGGAGAACCACGACGGGTAGCTGCTTGGAATATTTAAAAGATGATTGTTGGGCCATTTTTTGTTGGGTTAGTAGTTGCTTGGTATAATTTGTTTATGTACGGGGTTGATGAACATGAAAAACATTTGTTCATGTATATATAATTTACAATATGTATAGACTTTATATTTGTAGGTGGGTTGGTGTACTAATGGATATATATGTTGTTGAATGTAAAATACGTTACAATTGACAGGTACAGGTACAATTATGGAAAACGATTTTTAGAAACATTTCAAAACGTTTATATGAAAAGTTACATTTATAAATGTCAACAAAATAGGTTTCGTGACAAAAAAAGAAAAAATTAAAACTGTTTCTTGACAATTAAATGTTGAAATTATCAAGTATATCATGATAATTCTAAATTGTCGTTGTAAACCTTTCGGTGACATTTATCGAATGTCATTATTTAATGTTGCATGACATTTTTAAGTTGTCATTATACAATTTTTCGTGATTGTTAAAACTGACAATATTGACTATTAAAACTATCACTACAAAAGTTTTCATGACAGTTATAAATAATCGTTAAAAAAAATTCATGTCAATCTTTAACTGTCGTCTTTAGGTATTTATTGACAGAATGACAAAAATATTTGATTGTTTTAGTGACACTTATAAATTGTAATTAAATGACTTTCCGTGACATTTATTAATTGTAATGGAAAATCTATTCATGACAAAGTATAACTGTAGTTGAAAATGTATTGATGAAAATTGTCATCTTCTCCTCTTTCTTGATGCCTTAATAGATGACAATTACATAATTGTCATTAATGATGTTAATGACAGAATTTAACTGTCATTGAAGACCGACTTTCTACTAGTGATTTCTCCTCGAACTTAATATTGAGTCCGAGCTGCTTATTGACTTGAGCGTCTGAGATTTTGCCCTCTTGTGTAGGTCTTCCTCAGACGATTCAGGTCGGAGCAAGGACCGAGTTTGAGCTTGATTAAAACGTTGTGCAAATTCACGCATAGAGAGAAGAAAAAAAAGGCAGAGAGAAGAAACCCACGAAGCAGGGGCATTAGATCTGAAACTCAAAGAGAAGAAACCCACGAAGTAGAGGCATCAGATCTAAAATTTATCCTCTTAAAAAACGGGCAGCGGTGCAGCGGTGGTGTAGCGGCGGCAAGGCGGCGGGACGGTGACGGATGTAGCGGAGAGCTTGAGTGGACAATAATGGAGGAGAGAGCTTGGGTGAACAACAATGGAGAAGAGATTAGAGAAAAGAGATTCAAAATCAAAATGGGGAAGAAGAGGAAGATGAGAAAAGAAAAGCAAAATCCTAAATGTTAAATGAATGGTTGAGATTAAAACTTAATAGATGGCTGAGATTGAAGATAGAAAAAAATAAAGGTAGTATATATTTATTATGTATATATATATATTAAAAAAAACAAAAAGTAATCGGGTCAGGTCGGATCAACCCGACATTTTTAACGGCTAACCCGAGACCCGACCCAACTCGATCGGGTTGGAAATTTTCCAACCCAACCCAACCCGAAGTTTAATTGAAACCTGGATTTGGTTGGTGTTGGGATTTCTTTACCTTTAAAAAGATTAGAGACTCGTGCAAGCGCACACGGTCACAAGTAATACTCGGAAGTAATCCAAGGTCGAATCCCAAGGGACTTGTTGCTTTTCAAAATCAAGTAATGCAGTGAAATGGTTCAAATATGCAATTGTGATTTAGGAAAAAAATAATGGTGAAATGTTGTTGTTTGGGGTTTTAACTATCAAGCAATTTAATGAAACTCAACATCCTTGTCTCATACCTTAGTTTTGATGCAAAACATGGAAAACACACTATGTTGGGAAAATGCACTAGGTGCAATTCCTGACTTTTCTTGGGATTTGAGTTCTACTCTTTCACTACCGCTTTTGGTTGCTGCAGAGGCTAGGGTAACCTACAATCATATYYCTATATGTGATTACAATCCTAGAGAATATCTACCAACTCATTTGCATTATGGGTCAGAGGGCCTATTCCTAGGACCATATTTTATGCGCTTATTCCTAAGTCACATCCCATATTGGTTTCCTATTATTTTACTTAACTCACCTTTCCCAAGGTTGGGCTTTAGTGTATAAATCAAGTTCCCACTGGCCGAATGGAAAAAAAGACGTAAAGAGAAGTTTTTAGAAACCAACCCAAAAAAGTGCCAGGCGCAATCTGGCCAAAATCCCGAGCGTGTTGAAAATCAAATCATTTGACTAAGGCTTTCCACAAGGAGGTTGATAACTAATTTAGAACATGATTAAATGAAAGTAAATGCACGAAAACATAAAGAAAGTATTTTTCATTGAATTTAAATGAATAAATAAGCCGTACAAGGAGTTCTAGCTTGACCCTCTTCTTTCTCGAGCGTGAGGGGAGTTGAAACTCGCTAAAGAACTTTAAAAGAACAGAATGAACAAAGAACAGAAGTAAGAACTCGAATTAAAAGCACTACAAAAGGTAAAAGTGTGAAAAAGGAAGAAATGAACAACTAGAACATGAACATAAACCCTAAAAACGTGTTCTTCAACTAGAGAGCATCTAAAAGAAGATGAAATGAAGCTTGGAAGAGATAATTTGCTGAGGGATGGATGACTTCCTTTTATAGCACCATAGGTTGGTTGAAACTCCCCTCCATTTTAGGTGGAAAAGGGTTGAGATTCACCTAACCACCTCATTTGGACTTGGACTCACGATTTTGAACATGTGGGAAATGTCCTCCTTGCCCTTCATTAATCAAAACGTGCGTTTTGACAAATTGCCCTAAAAAAATGCGCCAGGCGCAATTCTGCAAAAGACAGAATTCTGTTATTTTCTTTCAACTTTGACCGCATTTATCTCATATTTTTCCTAAAGTACCATAGTTTGACTTTTATGCATAAATAATCTATGTATGTTCTACTTTAAGAATATATGGTCCTTTTTGGCAAATAATAATGGGAAATGGGTCAAAAACGTGGTCAAACAGAACTACCGACATATGTTTCTGCAGCAAAAAGTCAACCCTAACAGTTGGGTTCGTCGGGTTGTCAGATTTTTTGAACACCCCTAAACCCAACCAACAATAAGAGTAGATTGTGAACTTAGATAAATGACATTAGCATATTTTGTCAAAGTAGAAGAAATCCCTATTTTCAAAATAGTGAGTGGGAGAATGATGTGTGACAACACATCTTACGGTCTCCATCATTAGTTCACAACTTGAGATCCAAGTAAGGCATCGCGGCGGTTTTTGGACCATCTCCTAAGGAAGGTGTTTACATGGATCAATATTAGGGTGAATCTCCAGAAAAGGATAGGATTGTAGCTTTTATTCCAATATTTGACCTACCCTATGACGACACTGGTTCTAGCACACTGAAGCACCATAGCTTTAGAAGTTATTTATATGGTTATTTTATCAAATTGTTTCATTTCTATGCTAAAAATTGACTGGATATTGTTTGCATTTTTTTAATTCTATTATTTAATGTTTCAGTAAAAATGTCTTCCTCTCTTATATCTATATTGGCGGCTGAGAAATTGACCAGTGAAATTTTGACCACTGTAAAATTGCCTTATGAGTGGTCATGCCGTGATTTAGGTACCCTAGTCCTCCCTCAATGTCCCATGTTTGATGATCCAACCTACCTTCAACTTTGTTTTAACTTCTTTTTTTTTTAACTGTTCTTTTACTTTAAAAAAAATATTTTGAATTGCTTTCTTTTATATATAACTAAAAAGAGTAAATGTTGTTTATTTAAGGAAACAAATTTTATTTAAAGAAAAATATTGCAATGATATATTATCAATGTTTTAGTTTGTTTTTTTAAATTTGATATTTTTGTTTGATGTTAAATATAAATATAAATTAATTAAAATTTATTTCTCATTCCAATAAATTATTTTGTAACTATTTGATTGCATAAAAATTATATAATTCTTATAAAATTGAAAAAAAATTGATTTATTAATTCACATTTCATCATATTTCTTCTATATAAGTAAAATTAATTTAATTGTCTAAATTATAAGTTTGATTTATAAATATTGAGAGTTGTGTTTACCTAGTTAGTGAACTTTAAAAATGTGTTTAATAGGTCTTTAAACTTTCAGTTTTGCATCTAACAGGTCTTTTAATTTTTAATTTTATTTTAACAAATCCTTAACCTATTAAACCTTTCTTTTAAGTTTAATAATTTATTAGTTCAAACAACCCTTTTTATTTGTTTGAGAAGAGGTTCTGACGACCTTATCAATTCTAGCATATACTATACTTTGTTTAATTTATGAGTTCAACAATCTATTAGTTTAAAAACTAATTGATATATAATTTTTTTAAAGTTCAGATACCTATTAATTAAACACAATATGAAATTTGATGGAAAAAACTTGTAACTTAACCAATTTAGTATCATAATATATAAACTAAATATATATCAATGCGTTCGAATTATTTTTATACAATCCCCTAACATAAAATTTTGGGTCAACAATTTATAGTTGTAATATTCAACAGCAAATTCGTAGAGCTTATTTACTGAAATTTATATAAAGCTCCCTTGAAAAAAAATTCTGGATCCGCCACGGGTGGAGAGGCAAATATTGCCCGCTCAAGCAAGTTCAAACATAGAGAGGTTGACCTTAGGAGCTAAGTCTGGAGCTTCAACCTCTGGGACTAAGAACTGGGAGAGGAAAAATAGTGAGATGCAGAATAAAACTAAAGCTGCTCCAAAAGAAAAGAGAGTTAATGTAGAAAAAGCTGCAAAAGGAAAATGTTTTCATTTCAACGAGGAAGGGCATTGGAAGAAAAACTGCTCGAAATACCTAGAAGAAAAAAAGAAGTCAAAAGAAGGTAAATATGATTTACTCTAATTTTTTTTATAGTCGAAAGAAGGAAAATTCTAAATCCACCTAGATAATTGATTCAGAAGCTACTAATCATGTATGTTCTTCTTTTCAGGAAAATGACTCATGGGGGCAACTTAGCTAGACAGATGACCATGTGAGTTGGCACTGGAGAAATGGTGTCTGCATTAGCAAGTAAGGAGCGTCAAGTTAATTTTTGATAAGTTTTATTTAATGTTGAACAATGTTTATTTAGTTTCTAAATTTAAAAGGAACCTGATTTCTGTTTCTTATTTAGTTGAACAATTTTACTCCTTGAATTTTATTAGTAATAAAGTTGTTATTTCGAAAAACAATTTTAAGATTT